AAGAGTTCGAGCAACTTAGAAAGAAAAGTATTACCAACTTATAGAAAGTGCGTGAGAAGAGGGAAAAACACAATAAACAATTCTAAGATTACATGTGCCTTTTTCTAATTGGTTGATATATAATTAGTTATACAAGTTTAATATTTTCTTTAACAACATACCTAGTGTAATCCCACAAGTAAGGATTGAAAAGGGTAGAGTGTATACAACCTTACCCTTACCTTATCATGGTAGAGAGATTGTTTCTGATAGATCCTCAATTCAAGTAAAGCATATTAAATCAGGTATGAAAGTAATGGAGAAAGAAGTAGTTATATATTCCTTAATTTATATAAATGTTTGTAGGGGAACTCGTGGTGTTTTAAAAAAGTTATTTACATACCTTAACTTTACAGCAACCTAATACTCCCTATTCTTGATTGAAGTGGAACTAAGATCTCCCCAAAAGGTGATGTGGCAAAGAAAGTGTTACCGACTTCTTGGAAGTGCGTGAGAAGAGGAGAAAACACTATAAATGGTTCCAACAATACATTTGTCATCTTCTAATTGATTGTTTTATAATTAATTGTACTTAATTAATATATTCCTTAAAATATAACAACAATATACACATTTTAATCTCACAAGTGGGTTTGAAGAGAGTATTGTGTATGTATCTTAACCTACATTATGAAGGTAGATTGGCGGATTCTAATAGACCCTCAGTTCAAGTAAAGCACATCAAATCATATATCAAAATAATGGAGAAAGAACTAGTTATATACTCCTTAATTATATAATATAATTGTTTGTAGGGGAAGTCATAAGTTACGTCCCATGGTTGTTCAAAAACGACATCTGCACACCTTAACTTTACAGACGACCTTATATTCCCCACTTTTGTTTAAAGTAGAACGTTCCCTAAAAGGTGAGTTAGGCCCAAGACTTAACTTTACGTAGTATCACGGTAAAACCAATCTCACTCAATGTTGACCCTTAAATTAAAATTTCCCCACTCACTACATGTTCAACGCTAGGCATGAAGAATGAAAAACTTCCCACATCGGTGGTTAATGTAATGGGTGGTCTACTTATAAGGCTTGGACAATCCTCTTAAGCTAGCTTTTGGGGTATGAGTTAGGCCCAAGACCTAACTTTACAGACATATAATTTAGTATACTTGATTGATATATTCCTTAATTTAATAATTGGTTGTTGGGAAAAGTCACAAGTTACATCTTGTGGTTGTCCAAAGAAGTTATTTACACACTTAAAATTTACGTGCAACCTTTGCTCCCTACTTTCTTTTGAAATGGAACTAATATCCTTCTAAAAGGAGATGTGACAAAGAAAGTGTAACCAACTTCTTGAGAGCACGTGAGAAGAGGAAAAAACACTATAAATGGTTCTAACAATGCACATGTCATCTTCTAGTTGGTTGAAATATAATTAATTATACTTAGTTAATATAGTCCTTGTTGAATTGTGTTTTCTTAATATTCTCTTTATTTGTTTCCTCTTTTTCTCTTTTCTTCGTTTTCTCTTTCTTTTCTTTTTCCCACTCCTTCATTTTCTTGGTCAACTTTACTAGACCTGTGCCATCTCCGCTAGTCTAAGTTGCTCGGACTCGGGTGTGGGTGTCCGATATGGGTGCGGATCTAAAGGTCAGATCCTTCATGATCTAATTTTTAAGATTCGGGGATACAGATCTGTGAGAAATATAGGAGAAAAATATTATTGAAATTGTTGTTGTTTATATATTATTACATTGAGACCCTATTTATAGACACTACAATACAATCTTTTACCAAGTTGGATATTATTTACTATTCTTATTTCTATTTCTATTCTAAATAGGATTGTATAAACCTATTCTTATTCTAATAGGATTGCATAAACTTATTCATGTTCTAACGCTCCCCCTCAAGCTAGTGCATACAATTCATGTACCTAGCTTGTTACAAATGTAATTAATACGAGGATCGATGAGGAGCATGGTGAGATATCTGCAAGTTGATCAATCGACTTAACAAAATTGACAGTCAATCTCAATGTGCTTGTCTTCTTATTAAATACTGGATTTGATGCATACAGTCAGTCAATCTCAATCTCAATGTGCTTAATCTTTTCATAAAATATTGAATTTGATGCATAATGCCGATAAAACACAGAGTGATAAAATTACAGTGTTGAACTTCCCAAACCAAGCTTGCAAAGACTGTTTCAGACCATAGAGTGACTTACGTAATCGACATACAAGATTACTAAACTCCCCCCGAGCAACAGAATTAAGTGGTTGCTCCATATAGACTTCTTCACAATGCAGTGGTCGCTGAAAAGTGCTCAAAATCTAGTACAAAGTATATGGATCATGTTGGAATTAAATAGAGGGGTCGATAGTAAACAAGAAAGTAACTGAAAAACTAGCTGAAACATGCTCATATGGCAGGGTATTAGATTTGATGGCTAAAAGTGGTCACAATCTAACAAATAATATTATATGGGTAGGGTCGGAATGATGGCACGACCCAACTGAAAAATAGAAATATATAGGAGATGTCAGATTCACTGCACAATCCTATTGAAAAAGAGAAATAATATGGGTAATAGCCATTTGCCGACAGCGGAAGCTCTTTGATTCTCTACCAAGATCGTAGAGACTCTGATACCATGTGAGAAATATAGGAGAAAAATATTATTGAAATTGTTGTTGTTTCTACATTATTACATTGAGAACCATGTTTATAGACACTACAATACAATCTTTTACCAAGTAGGATACTATTTACTATTCTTATTTCAATTTCTATTCCTATTCTAATAGGATTGTATAAACCTATTTCTATTCTAATAGGATTGTATAAACCTATTCATGTTCTAACAGGATCCATGTATGGATAAAGGTGCGGGGATTCACCCAAAAATTAACTAGAATATCTAAGAATAGAGCTATAAAACCTAAATTATGAGATATTATGTGAAGAACTTAATCCTAGAAGGAGATCAAAGGAAAAGGAGTGACACAGAAATTTCTATATAAAAGGTATTCCATTTCCTTCAATTTCACCTTAGCTTTTGTATTGATTATAGTAATCGTTAAAATTGTCCAGACTTCCCCCATCGATTTTGGTCAAAGTACCCAAAATCGATTGACCAAATCACACCCACACCCACACCCACGTCATGTCGACACGGGTGCGTCACCAAAAGTGAAGAGTCCAAGCAACTTAGTTGCTGGTCACTTCCCCGCACCATTTTCTTTTCTTCTTTTGTCATCTTTAAATAAGTTTCTTTCTAGGGTTAGATATTAATAAAATGCTTAAAAGTTCAGAAGATCTCTTCGACTAAAAATTTGTTTGCCGGCCACCATGTTTTCTGGCGAGGTAGGTATTCTCTCTTCCTAAAATATTGTTCAAAACAATTTTTTCAGATCTTTACCTTGAAAAATCGAAAACAAGATTCAAAAGAAATGAAAAAACAATTTCATCTTCGCTGGAAAATTAAAATTTGGTGATCTTCTTTTTCGTCCTTTTTGGAGCTATCTATCTTATCTCAGAACTACCTTGTTAAGAACTTTCAATTATGAGTCATGGTGTTATGTGTGGTGCATCTCATTATTGAACTTCAATGGGAGTTTCTCTTGAAGCAATAATGTGTTGATCTAGACGCCACCAAATCCACAAAGGACTATCTAAATTGATTTGTTTCTGCCGATTTTTCCTAATTGTGCAACCCAAAGCTTCGATGGAAATTGAAAATAGGGTGAAGTAGAAAAAGAAGTAAGAAGAAGGGGAAAAGTGGGAAAAAAAAACAATGCCTAATAAATTGAAAAAATTCCAAATATATATTATACACGTGTCAGGCGTATGTATAATAAACGTTTTTATATAAATTTGGTATTGTCTGGAGAAGGGGGTAATAGTACCACTTAAAATAAGAATAAGGAGTAGGAGGTCACCCGGAAAGTATCAGTGTGTAAAGGACTTGTGTTTTCTAAGAAAGCAAGCCTTTCAAGTAAGGCTTGAAAGAAGGCAGACGATCCAATCAGATTATAAAGAAGATAGACGAGAAGATAAGGGACGAAAGACTTTTTGAAATTCGATTGGTGTAAACATGATATTAATTAGTCTTTGTCCTTTTTTAAGAGTCTCCAGACGCTCCTTGTCCTAAGTCCCATACATCCGGTTACCTTTGCGGATTTCCGCCGTCTGCTTTTGCGCTATTGTTACTTACAACGTCTCTTCTCTTACGCAATTACTGACTAGTTGTAGAACAACTATAAGGGCATTTCTACTTTGTAATCAAATAGTTTCCAAATGTTGATTTCAAACTACCACAGTTAAGCCAGATGACATAATGTGTCGCCTTTGTTAGTCTTGCATTGACTAGATGAATTGTTTTTTTGGAAATTGGAAAGAGATGGCAAATGTACGGATCAATTATATTTGAATCTTATATAGAGAGGTCTTTTATTATATTTGAGTTTTTTTTTGGAGCAATTCAGAAGATTTACGTTTCTTTCTTAAATGAAGAATTTGAAAAAATATCCTCGAATAGTTTTATTGAAATGAATCTTTTTCCTGGAATAGTTATTGAAATGAATTAATGAGTAAATATAAAATTTAATCGAACAAGAGAAACACTGAACTTAAGACTTTTTGCCCTTTCTTAAACTCGAATTAAGGACAATGTTTCCAAGAATAATCTCATCATTCCCCATTGACTTTTATTGTTTCATTGAATGATTGAATGACATTTTTGGGACTGCTGTTTATGCTGCATTCTGCCTTGTTAAGAATCGAGTCAGTTGACAGGGTGCTAGTTCTAATTTCCAGAAAGTTCCTCTTGTTCTCTTCACTATATAAATATCCTGACATATTTGTGGTTTGCCAATTTGTTCTCCTGTCATTCATGCGATATAAAGCTGTTAAATTATGTAACCTTGATTGTACTTCCACTGAAGCTTTGAGAGAGGGGCTCCATTGGAAATTCTAATTTGAAAATGGGTATTTGCTTTGCAGCGATGAAAAATATTTGCAGTTTCAAGTGAATGGAAATTTGCCGTATTCATGTCCAAAATGCCGCGGATATAGTTATCAGGTGTGTTTATGGCAGTGATTAATTTCACTAGAAAAGTTAATCAAGGACTCTATCCTGATAATTCTCTATTGATGTTCTCAGTCCATAAATCGTGAGAATGCTGTTCAGGAGCTTTGGAGGAGGAGAGATTTAGCTGATAGGGATTTAATTGCAAGTTTGAGGGCAGGAGCTGGGTTGCCAGTTGAAGATGAAATGTTTTCTATTTCACCCTTTTCAGATGATGAAGATACTGCTCCTGTAGTAAAAAATGAACATAAAAAATCCTTGAAATTTTCTCGTAAAGGTTTAGTTGACAAATCTCCCCAAAAGAGCAAGGACTATGGAAAGAAATCTGGTAAAGGGAAGGGGTTAACTGGACAAAATGAAGGACATCCAGATGCTCCATCTGGTGGATATAGTGCTGGTGATGTCAAGAATGATGAATTGCAGGCTTATGGGGAACTAGATAGCTTTTCTTCTCCTGCTGCTAGCTTGACAGAAGGTATATGTTCATTTAATATGGCAGGGGTCATAAAGCACAAATTTATAGATGAGGTTGCTGGAAACACGGGTAAGAGGACAGTCCAAAGGAAAGGTAGCAAGCCTCAGCGTTTGGATGGGGATGATGTTGGAATTCAAACAAGCATGCCAAAGACCTCCAAGGAGCCAAAAGGTGTTATTCATTTGGGCTCGCTGGATAAAAATATAGCAGGTTCCCCGAAGTCCGATGCTTCAAGCTGTCAGAAAGAGCAAGTTTTGACTACTTCACATGGTAATTTTTATTTTATATTTGTAGTCTTCAGGTTCCTCTTTCTTTCCGTTTTCTTATTTGGATGAATCTTGTTTAAACTATGGCTTCTCCATAGAGTTTGATGACTGTAGATATGCTTTTCTACTAGCTTGCATCACTTATGACACAAAAGCTACGGTTTTCTAAATTGTTATCTCATCCAGACAAAAGTTCCGCCGGTGAGAAAGATGATCTTAGTTTTCCTCTGTGCATTTTTATTTCTTCGAGATTTTCATCTATGATTGGTAAGGAATTCATATACAAGTTTCCCCAGGTGTTAAAAGTGGTAAGAGAGCATCGCATGATACGTGGATTAAGATCACGTCCCTGTGCTAACAAAAGCCTGATATTTAAGTGAAGAAGGGTAGATGCACATGCTCATTATCCCCACAGTTTTGAACCTTATGTCAATGGCCCTTGAGAATTTCCCGGTTATAAAGAAAGGACATATAAGTTGCCTAAGGGATATCATAAAATACCGTGATTCTTGGGTTTCTTTTTGTTAGTAGATGTCATAACTCATAAGTATCTCTAATATTGGTTATAAAGAAAGGACATATAAATTGGCTAAGGAATATCATAAAGTACCGTGATTCTTGGGTTGCTTTTTTTTTTGTAGAAGTTAAAAGCATCTATTATGTACGTTCTCGCAATGCATTTTCTTGTAGATAAAAAACTAGCGTGGAAGTAAACTTATGCTGCATATTTCTTCTCATTTCCTTGGATAATTGGCTGCTTATTTGGCATATTTGGAATGTGTGCTTTGGTCATCATGTGATCTGATGTTTGTTCTTTTTTTTATTTCTTCTTCATGACTTAAGTTGAAATTCTTTTGAAAATAAAGCAATGGGGGATTTTAAGTTGTGTCCTCAAAGTTTAACATAACAATATTAATATTAGTTAAACAATGGTAAAAATGTAAGCCAGTAGTTTAAAACATTTTTCTTTTAATGATCTTGACAAATCTTAAAAGAGTAGCACTAATGTACATCTTACTAACAGACTTCTTCCCTTTTCTCAAGACACTGAATTTGTTGTCTTAATGGATACACTCTGGCATAAAACAGAGGAGTTCTCTTTTTATAATTCAGATTCTTTCCTCTGTCTGAATACTTGCAGCTGAAGAGTCCGTAAAGCTGCTAATGACTCACAAAAAATTAGAATTAAAATAACCTTAATGTATTTAAGTTCATGCTGCATATTATTATTGTTTTTTGATGTTAACACCCACACCAACACACAGTGGTGTACGCAGGATTTTTCGTAAGTGGTGTCACCTGTTAAAATGAGAAAATAAATAAAATAATATAAACCATATTTTTTTTAAAAACACACAAATAAAACACAATCCATGTATATTTTTATATTCTTTTCTAAAAATATTAAATAAAAAATACATTATATTTTTTTTCGATGAGTTTTTTTTTTATGAAATGTACTCAAATTAATCTCCTTGATAATATTATTCTAAATTTTTGTTTATAAAAACAAAATACCAAATAATTACTAAACAAAGAAGGTCAAAGAAAAACAAACATACTAAATATTTGTTTATACAAACAAAATACAAAATAATTACTAAACAAAGAAGGTCAAAGATTCCTATCTGGCCATGGAGACAAATTTGGAAAGGCAGAATTCCTTATCAAGTCTCATGTTTTATATGGCTGCTAGCTAAGGAAGCAGCTTTGACACAGGATAATGTTATGAAAGGGGGATAACCTTATGTTCTAGGTGTTTCTTTGTGGAGAAACATCAGAAACTGTTATCCATCTTTTTCTACACTGCAAATTTACTCAACAATTATGGAGGGTATTCTTGAGTCTCAAAAGGCATATCCTGGGCTATGCCTAGGAGAATTACTGAAGCCCTAAAAAGTTGGGAGAGGCAGGAGTGCTAGCTAAAGACAGAACGAGATGGAGAATTATCCCTGCTTCAATCTGGTGGGCAACCTGGAAAGAGAGAAATTCTAGGTGTTTTGAGAGCGTAGAGAATAGTAGGTAGAAAGTTAAACTCAACTGCATTTTGTTGTTATGTTTTTGGTGCAATCAATTATACTCAAATGAAACTGTCTCTATAATTGATGTTCTAGATTCAATTTAGATTTAGAATAGTGGATTTTGGAGTTCATCTGTATATAAGGTTTAGTACTGCCCATGTACGATTGTGTTATAATACAAAGTTACCAAGTTTCAAAAAAAAAGAAGGTCAAAGAAAAAAAAACATAAAAAATGAGGCTATGTAGGATTGAACATGCAACCTAGCCAAAGGAATTTCAGCACAAAACCAACTAAGCTACGCGCTTCTATTGTTCAAGCAGTGTCACTTTTATTATATACACTATATATTTGCTTTTGTTTCATAATTGTATGCCTATTTAGCAATTTTTTCCGACGAAGAAGTGTCACGTGACACCCCTTCTCCCTTCCTAAATCTGCCCCTGCCAACACACACCTACACTTAAAAAATTTAGAAAATTTGGTTGAATTTGTAAATCAATGAGCTCATTGTCGAAATGGATAGGCGGCAATACTTCTGTTGTTCCCAATTTATTTTTTCAAATTCGATTTCTGGATTCGCTATTGCATCTGTTGTTCCCTAAATTCTTGCAATTCAATGTCTAAATTGATTGATCAAGGAAGCAAAGTCTCTTGAGATAGAGTAATTAGCTTCAGTATTCTATACTTCTGTTCTTATATGGTGTAGATCCTTTACTTTTTTGTATACCTCTTGTATATGGGAGATTTTCACGTTACTAAAATTATTTACCTTATCAAAATATATTATTATATGTAATTCTTTGTTTATCAGGTTATAAGGATCTGGTTCAGCTCAGAGAGAATGAGAACTCAGAGAGGAATGAGACTGCGGCAACACTTGGTGGTGGAAAAGGTAAGATGTGTTGTAACTTTTTTATTTTTTATGTTGGTGGCGGGGAAAGAAGATAAGATTGTATTTGTTGGTTTTAGGATTATACTTTTAATATTCTACTAGTAACTCTTCTTTTTGGCTCTCGTTTTTGTGTCAAAAGAAAGTAACTTAATAGAGATCACGAAAGTTAGCTCAGAAGCTACTCATTTCCCTGCCAAAGTTGGTGGAAAATTTGCCGATGGGTCTAGACCTTATCCTCAACTCAAGACTTCTGGTATTTTGCTTTCGTCATCATGTGATCTGATGTTTGTTTTTTTTTTTTTTTTGCTTTCTTCATGACTTAAGTTGAAATTTTTTTGAAAGTAAAGCAATGGGTGATTTTAAGTCATGTCCTCAAAGTTTAACATAACAATGTTAATATTAATTAAACAATGGTAAAAATGTAAGCCAGTAATTTCAATGTTTTTCTTTTAATGATCTTGACAAATCTTAAAAGAGTAGCACATGTGTACATCTTACTCACAGACTTCTTCCCTTTCTCAAGACGCTGAATTTGATGTCTTAATGGATACAGTATAGCATAAAACAGAGGAGTTCTCTTTTTATAATTTAGATTCTTTCCTCTGTGTGAATACTTACAGCTGAAGAGTCCGGAAAGTTCACAAAAAATTAAAATTAAATTAACCTTAATGTATTTAAGTTCATGCTGCATACTATTATTGTTTTCTGATGTTAACACCCACACCAACACACACCCACCCACACACACTTGGAAATTTTAGAAATTTTGGTTAAATTTGTATCTAAGTTCAATGAGCTCATTGTCGAAATGGATAGCCGGCAATACTTCTGTTGTTCCCTATTTATTTATTTTCGAATTGGATTTCTGGATTCGCTATTGCATCTGTTGTTCCCTAAATTCTTTCAGTTCAATGTCTAAATTGATTGATCAAGGAAGCAAAATCTCTTGAGATAGAGCACTAGCTTCAGTACTCTATACTTCTGTTCTTATATGGTGTAGATTCTCTACTTTTTGGTATACCTTTAGTATATGGGAGATTTTCACGTTACTAAAATTACTTACCTTCTCAAAATATATTATTATATGGACTTCTTTGTTTATCAGGTTATGAGGATCTGGTTCAGCTGAGAGAGAATGAAAACTCAGAAAGGAATGAGACTGCAGCTATACTTGGTGGTGGAAAAGGTAAGACGTGTTGTAACTTTTTTATTTTTATGTTGGTGGCGGGAAAGAAGATAAGATTGTGCTTGGTGATTTTTGGAGCATACTTTTAATATTCAGATCACATGATGACCAAAGCAAAATACCAGAAGTCTTGAGTGGAGGATAAGGTCCAGATCCATCGGCAAATTTTCCACCAACTTTGGCAGGGAAATGAGTAGCTTTTGAGCTAACTTTCTTGATCTTTATTAAGGTACTTTCTTTTGACACAAAAACAAGAGCCAAAAAGAAAAGTTACTAATAGAATATTATTATTATTTTTATTTTATTTTTTCTATTTCAAAAAAAATATTCTATTAGTAACTTTTCTTTTTGGCTCTCGTTTTTGTGTCAAAAGAAAGTACCTTAATAAAGATCAAGAAAGTTAGCTCAAAAGCTACTCATTTCCCTGCCAAAGTTGGTGGAAAATTTGCCGATGGATCTGGACCTTATCCTCCACTCAAGACTTCTGGTATTTTGCTTTGGCCATCATGTGATCTGATGTTTGTTCTTTTTTTCTTTTTTTTTGCTTTCTTCATGACTTAAGTTGAAATTCTTTTGAAAGTAAAGCAATGGGGGATTTTAAGTCACATCCTCAAAGTTTAACATAACAATGTTAATATTAATTAAACAATGGTAAAAATGTAAGCCAGTAGTATAAAACGTTTTTCTTTTAATTATCTTGACAAATCTTAAACGAGTAGCACTTTTGTACATCTTAATCACAAACTTCTTCCCTTTTCTCAAGACGCTGAATTTGATGTCTTAACGGATACACTCTAGCATAAAACAGAGGAGTTCTCTTTTTATAATTCAGATTCTTTCCTCTGGGTGAATAATTGCAGCTGAAAGTCCGGAAAGCTGCTAATGACCCACAAAAAATTAAAATTAAAATAACCTTAATCTATTTAAGTTCATTCTGCATACTATTGTTGTTTTCTGATGTTAACACCCACACACAAACACTTAGAAATTTTAGAAAATTTGGTTAAATTTGTAAATCAATGAGCTCACTGTCAAAATGGATAGGCGGCAATACTTCTGTTGTTCCCTAATTTTTTTTAATTTTTTTTGTGTATTCAATTTCTGGATTCTCTCTTGCATCTGTTGCTCCCTAAATTCTTTCAATTCAATGTCTAAATTGATTGATCAAGGCAGAAAAATCTCTTGAGATAGAGTAATTAGCTTCAGTACTCTGTACTTCTGTTCTTATATGGTGTAGATTCTCTACTTTTTGCTATACCTCTTGTATATGGGAGATTTTCACGTTACTAAAATTATTTACCTCATCAAATATATTATTATATGTACTTCTTTGTTTATCAGGTTATGAGGATCTGGTTCAGCTGAGAGAGAAAGAAAACTCAGAAAGGAATGAGACTGCAGCTACACTTGCTGGTGGAAAAGGTAAGACTTGTTGTAACTTTTTTATTTTTGATGTTGGTGGCGGGGAAAGAAGGTAAGATTGTATTTGTTGGTTTTAGGATTATAATTTTAATATTCTATTAGTAACTTTTCTTTTTGGCTCTCGTTTTTGTGTCAAAAGAAAGTAACTTAATAAAGATCAAGAAAGTTAGCGCAGAAGCTACTCATTTCCCTGCCAAAGTTGGTGGAAATTTGCCGATGGATCTGGACCTTATCCTCCACTCAAGACTTCTGGTAATTTGCTTTGGTCATCATGTGATCTGATGTTTGTTCTTTTTTTCTTTTTCTTTTTTTTGCTTTCTTCATGACTTAAGTTGAAATTCTTTTGAAAGTAAAGCAAAGGAGGATTTTAAGTCACGTCCTCAAAGTTTAACATAACAATGTTAATATTGATTAAACAATGGTAAAAATGTAAGCCAGTAGTTTAAAACGTTTTTCGTTTAATGATCTTGACAAATCTTAAAAGAGTAGCACTTATGTACATCTTACTCACAGGCTTCTTCCCTTTTCTCAAGACGCTGAATTTGATGTCTTACTGGATACATTCTGGCATAAAACAGAGGTGTTCTCTGTTTATAATTCAGATTCTTTCCTCTGTGTGAATACTTGCAGCTGAAGAGTCCGGAAAGCTGCTATTGACCCACAAAATATTAAAATTAAAATAACCTTAATGTATTTAAGTTCATGCTGCATATTATTATTGTTTTCTGATGTTAACACCCACACCAACACACACACACACTTAGAAATTTTAGAAAATTTGGTTAAATTTGTATTCAAGTCCAATGAGCTTACTGTCGAAATAGATAGGTGCCAATACTTCTGTTGTTCCCTTTTTTTTTTTTTCTAATTCGATTTCTGGATTTGCTCTTGCATCTGTTGTTCCCTAGTTTTTTTCAGTTCAATGTCTAAATTGCTTGATCAAGGCAGCAAAATCTCTTGAGATAGAGTAATTAGCTTCAGTACTCTATAGTTTTGTTCTTATATGGCGTAGATTCTCTACTCTTTTGTATACCTCTTGTATATGGGAGATTTTCACTTTACTAAAATCATTTACCTTATCAAAATATATTATTATATGTACTTCTTTGTTTATCAGGTCATGAGGATCTGGTTCAGCTGAGAGAGAAAGAAAACTCGGAAAGGAATGAGACTGCAGCTACACTTGGTGGTGGAAAAGGTAAGACTTGTTGTAACTTTTTTATTTTTGATATTGGTGGCGGGGAAAGAAGATAAGATTGTATTTCTTTGTTTTAGGATTATACTTCTAATATTCTATCAGTAACTTTTCTTTTTGGCTCTTGTTTTTGTGTCAAAAGAAAGTAACTTAACAAAGATCAAGAAAGTTAGCGCAGAAGCTACTCATTTCCCTGCCAAAGTTGGTGGAAAATTTGCCGATGGATCTGGACCTTATCCTCCACTCAAGACTTCTGGTATTTTAGGAAAAAGAAGCAATGATAGTAGTGTTATTACAAAGGCTGGATCTGAAGTTCCTGCTACACATACATCTTACTCACAGGCTTCTTCCCTTTTCTCAAGACGCTGAATTTGATGCCTTAATGGATACACTCTGGCATAAAACAGAGGTGTTCTCTGTTTATAATTCAGATTCTTTCCTCTGTGTGAATACTTGCAGCTGAAGAGTCCGGAAAGCTGCTATTGACCCACAAAATATTAAAATTAAAATAACCTTAATGTATTTAAGTTCATGCTGCATATTATTATTGTTTTCTGATGTTAACACCCACACCAACACACACACACACTTAGAAATTTTAGAAAATTTGGTTAAATTTGTATTTAAGTTCAATGAGCTCACTGTCGAAATGGATAAGTGCCAATACTTCTGTTGTTCCCTTTCTTCTTTTTTTTCTAATTTGATTTCTGGATTTGCTCTTGCATCTGTTGTTCCCTAAATTTTTTCAATTCAATGTCTAAATTGCTTGATCAATGCAGCAAAATCTCTTGAGATAGAGTAATTATCTTCAGTACTCTATAGTTTTATTCTTATATGGTGTAGATTCTCTACTTTTTTGTATACCTCTTGTATATGGGAGATTTTCACTTTACTAAAATCATTTACCTTATCAAAATATATTATTATATGTACTTCTTTGTTTATCAGGTAATGAGGATCTGGTTCAGCTGAGAGAGAATGAAAACTCAGAAAGGAATGAGACTGCAGCTACACTTGGTGGTGGAAAAGGTAAGACTTGTTGTAACTTTTTATTTTGATATTGGTGGCGGGGAAAGAAGATAAGATTGTATTTCTTTGTTTTAGGATTATACTTCTAATATTCTATTAGTAACTTTTCTTTTTGGCTCTTGTTTTTGTGTCAAAAGAAAGTAACTTAATAAAGATCAAGAAAGTTAGCGCAGAAGCTACTCATTTCCCTGCCAAAGTTGGTGGAAAATTTGCTGATGGATCTGGACCTTATCCTCCACTCAAGACTTCTGGTATTTTAGGAAAAAGAAGCAATGATAGTAGTGTTATTACAAAGGCTGGATCTGAAGTTCCTGCTACAAGGGACAACAAATTAGCTTCTGTTAAACATGTCAAAGCTTGGCTCGCTTCTTGTGATGAGCTGAATGAAGAAAAAAATGGCTCACCTTCATTATCTAATTTACCGAGAATGGATCCAAGACCTCTCCAAAGGCCCAAGTTCAAGAATCCTTACCATGAAAGTCAAAATTCCTTGGCTTCTCCAGGAGAGGAGGAGAAAAGCATGGATAAGGGCCACGAGTCTAAAAGAATGAGATCGCCAGCTTTTGAAGAAAAAGCATCGACCAGGTCTGATGATAATTCATCACGGCGATATGAAGACATTGATGACTTCTTGGCTGATAAATGGATACTGCAGAAGTTGGGACAAAATGCAAAAGGAAAGAGAGTGGAATTTCATCATCTGTTTGATAATACCTGGTAAGTTTATTGTTACGTCAAGCTGACTACTATACATACTTAAAATTTATGCAACTTAAATGAAAATGAGTGCTGTGATATTCTGGATTTGTAATCATGATAGCAATGAGTAAAGGGCAATCAATAGAGCTAGTGAATTGCATTGGGACTTAAGGATATAGTAGGATAAATAAAAGGAACAGTCTGTCTATAGTAAGAAGTTTAATTTGGGTGTTTAACTAGCGTGGCTTCCTTGCTGGTTCTTAAATATGAAATTGTGTAGAAGAGCATTCATATAAATCTGTACCACACTCTCCTTGAGATGTGCTAGTTTGACCTTTCAATTTGTTTTCTTTTTCAGGCATAGAGGGACTGTCGTAGAAGTCTTTGAAGGCTCATCTGTTGTGTCTGTTGCTCTTGATGATGGGAACATGAAGAAGTTGGAACTTGGAAAGCAAGGAATTCGTTTAATATCTTCGAAGCAAAACTGTTGACTGCTATTAAAATTGGTTATTAGATGCAGCGTATGTTGCGACTTTTGATGTCAAGGGCATGAGCAACTGCTGATTCCCAGAGTTGTTCCTCTTTGGTTGACTCAAAGGAAGTAACTGATCGTTGCAGGTTAAAATTTCAAGGTTACTGCACCCTGCATTGTGTGTTTGCTGCTTGTTATCTAACCATTGGTTACCAGATTTACATGTAAGGCGTTGGTTTGATTCTGTTTTATTGTCACCTTTTGTTTTCCAGTTTATAGATTCTCCTTTTGAGCCTTTTGGTGGCACTTTAAATTAATCTTGTTGAGTTTGCAGTTTTAATGTAAAATTTCTAGAGATTACAAAGTTCTGCTCTTACTGGTATTAACTCAGAATAGATGTCGTTGTTATACTATAATATATATATTATAGCCAGCTGAGCTCTTTTCAATATGAATGGACTGAAATCACCATGATACTACGATAAATTCCATTAGATATAATCATCTTGAGGACTTAGGCAGCTGATCATGTGAGGCTCTTGAGACACATCTAAACATTTGCATATGTTCTAGATCTTGTGTGTGAAATTGGTAATTTGAAACTTCATATTTGTCAAGGGTATATGCTTAAAACTGCTATAAATTTTGAAGATTTATTTGGGTTTGGTGGTTAATATATGGGTCTTGGGGTGAATTCAGTTTGAGTATTCATTCTTTCATTTCAAAGCAATTGTTTTGACTTGACTATTACAATATCAAAATTCTAAAATAATTGTAACATGTAAGTGGTCAAAAATGTCTCTAGCATCAAAATAACAAACAACTTTTGGGAGGCATAACTTTGTATTTACATATCATAATATTGCATGAGTTGTATTGCAGACATTCTTTTTTTACTATTGATGGTGAAATATATTATTTGTGCATGTGATCATCAACATTAGAGCTCCTTCTTCATTTATGATAATCAGGTCATAATCATGTTTGGGAACACAACGTTTTTTACTCTTAGTTTGATGAAAGTTTGTCTTAAAACAATGAAAAATTATATTCATATGTAGATTTAAAACAATCAAAAATATTTGTAGAAGAATGACCTTCTTAAGAAGATCATATTTATCTTTTAAATTATTCAAGTTAACATCTCAAAAGGTCACTCAACTTTGAAAAGTTATCTAATAAAGTCATTAAACTTTGTTTTGTATCAATAAAATCACTCAACTTGAGTCTTTGTATCAATAAAATAGTCAACTAAATTTTTCATTAAACAAATTTGACATGACAAAAAAATGTTTTATTCCCAATATTGAGTGACATCATAAGATATTAACTCCTAAAATAAATAAAATAAAATCTATTTTGCAAATTAAGTTAAATGTTCATAAGTGATATTAATTCTCATTTATCGATTGTGTCCAATGTTTCAAAATCTATTTTATTTGAATTTCAATTGCAAATCGAGAGCTTCGTATCTTTTGAATATTAGTATAGTGGTAAGATTCAAAGGAATCCTCTGCTAATCACAAGACGATTTTCTAGCCGTTATCTAATTTAGCATAATGAATTAATTACAGGTGTCTTAAGAAATCTAGTTAATAGAGTATATTTTATTTTGGAGTGAGAAAGGAAAGAAGCAATTATTTGATTTATTAATTTATTTTAGAAATTAATATCTCAAAAAGGGCACTCAATCTTTAAAAAAAAAAATTATTTTCTTATGTCAATAAAATGAGAAATTTATTTGAGAGATTTTTTTTATAAGGAAGTATAGAAATTGAGTGATTTTATTGATACAAAACAAAATTTAATGATCTTGCTAGATAAATTCTCAAAGACAAGGGATCTTTTGAGATATTAACTCAAATTATTCCAAAACATAATCAGATCTTCAGCAAATGAAACACATCATTTTCAAACCACCCATCAAAGTGGTGCCATAGAAATATATTTACTTTGGCATGACCTTAATTTGATATTTGATTATTATCTTTGATTGAGCCTATCATATAACATCAAAATGAATTTCATCATCAAACATCGATGACAAATAACTTTTACCTCATATATCCAAAACAACAAAATTCATATTTAGCAAGAAAAAACGTCATTAATTAAAAAAATAGATATATTTAAAGCTTTGTAAGTATTTACTTGAAATGATGCTGATAACATGTCATCTAATAAAGACTACTAAGTAAATACATAGAAAAATTATATATAGAGAGACTATTATAATTTATATTATTCAACTTCAAATTGATGTATAGAAGGTGGTTGATTACAAGCTTATCTAATAAATAATAAATAGTAAATTTAAGTGGATATTCGTAATAACACAAATTATTTTTTAACAATACACTATTATATTATTTTATATTATAACCCAGAGCCAAAAAAAAAAAAGGTGAAAAAAATTTAGAGGCTATTTCCTTTACATTTGGAGCTATTGTTTTAATATTCGTTTTGTCTTCTCCAGCGGCCACTGGATTCGCCTCAGAAGTAGCTGCCGCAGCTTCTCTCTGCTTCCATGTAAAACCCTAAATCTCTTTTTCTTCATTCTACTTAGTTATTAGTATTGTTTTTGTGCTTATCCTTTTTTTTAAAAAAAATATATTTTGTTTTTCTTGTTTTGTTCTTGAGTTCCCTAATTTCAGTTTATTCTGGTCACTTTTTAAAGCCTCGAAACCCCCATAATTTTTATATTTTCGTATTCGCAATTTTTTTGGGGGTCAATTCCTGTTAGAAGGAGAAGAGCTTAATGTGGGAAGAAAGTATTTAAGTGTAGGAATTGGGTGGTTTTGAGATTTTGGGTAATTGGAACATGATTAAGTTATCAAGCAATGAAAAAATTAGGAGAAATTGTTTAAGAGCTATTTTATTTTGGGTTGGAAGCTGGAAAGGGTAGATTATAGGGAGAAAACATAGAAAGATTGAATTTTGATATAGAAACTTTAACTTTGATATTATCTGTATGAGCATGAAGTGTAGAACGTTTAACTTTGACTCTTCTAATATATGAGTGGCAGATAAAAGTACCAAAGTGATTGCTAAGACGTTAGTTTGAGAGAAAAACACTGTATCCAAGTTTAATTTATATAGGGATGTAAAATTTTGGAACTTGTGAAAATTGTATAGAATAATGCCTGTCTGCCCTTATTTATATGATAATCCTACTTTGGTATGTTCTAAATGTTACACTACTCTAGTTTTTGGCATTAGTCCCATATAGCTTTCACGAATTTCAAGAAGCTAATTCCTTTTATTACTCAATAATCTCTTCTTTCTAACTTGTGAGGGTGGTTTTTCCAGTCTTCTAGGCAATACCTACAGCACCTGTAAAATTATTTAAAATGTGCAGTTAGTTAAGCCTGTTTATCAACTTTCCACTTCCTGGCAGTTTGTCCTTAAAATGACACAAGTTTCTTTTTGGGCTTATATAGATCTAGGTGGCGTTAGGTATTTATTTATTCAGTTAATTATCTATTTGTGAAAATGTTTCAAAGCGCCTCTGTGTGGTATATAGCATATCCGCGTGTGGTGCCAAATTCTATCCAATGGATAGGTTCATAAAAGAGCAGCCTGCGCTGGACTTAGAGGGAAGAAGAAATCTAGGGGACATTTTCTGATTGCTTCTTTAACTCCTTTTCATTCTGTTATCCTGAAAACCTGTGGCAGATTGTCATCAAACTTCTTTTATGGAAGTTCAAGCAAGACATTGTGTGCTTATCATCAAAACTCCAAACTCCACTCTACTTCTCTAATGGGTGCAGAGCACTATCCTCCTCCTTGGTTCAGGTGCGTGCATATATAGAAGTCCAATTTTCTCTCCTTTACAATGTTAATAAGCTCCCTAATATTTCTGTACTTTAAATAATAATAATAAAAAAAGCGCCCTAATATTTGTAAGCCTTTGTATTTAAACAGTGTTGCCCCCATGATGGAATGGACCGATAACCATTACAGAACTTTGGCCCGTCTTATCTCAAAAAAGGCGTGGCTCTACTCAGAAATGCTTGCTGCCGAAACTATTGTCTACCAGACTGGCAATTTGGTAAAGTTCTGAATCATTGAATGAGACTCTAGTACTTCTTCACCCAACTATAAAGTACTTTTTGTTCTTACTGATAACTAGAGCTAAGCAAAAAGAAGAGAATCATGCGAGCTAATCCTTTGTTCTTATTCTAGACAAAAAGAAATAAGAAAGAGAAGAACATTTACTGTGCTATATAGTATGTAAAGGCTCACAATTGCAGAGGATTCAAACTCGTCTACGATAATTTAACTCAAGTGTACAGGTTAAATTTTTCAGTGAATGTGCATAAATCAAAATATCTTATGATATTTTTTTCCAATTTGTTTAAGTCATGAGACGGTGAAAGAGTCAAAAGTTACATTCTGTGATCTAGATCCTCTTGCTGCCAACTCCAGTTCTCATGATAAAAGGAAATAGTGGATGTATGTCTCTCTGGGTATATGCCTACTTTTTACATGATGTAAACTGACCCTCTACCAAGAGAAGCTTACAGTTAGCACTTCTATAGATGGTGTATGACACTTGTATTTGATTTACTAAATCGATGAACGTACTGTTTTTATTTCAATTACTGTAGAATCTTTGGGTTGTCTTTCAAGGAACCGAGCAAATTGGTTGGTCTTTTTCATTTCCCTAAAGGAAGACCCTTGTCCCAGTTAGATGGTCCCCTAGAAAAGGATTTTTTTTTGGTATAAAATACGTGAGAAAGAAGGGGACCTATATGATATATTATTCTAACCTGGGTAGATCTCCAAAAGGAACTTTCTTGTACTGATAGGTTATTGCGCTTGCGGTTTGGACCTTTTAGAGCAGCTTGTCACTGACTAATGCTTGTGTGTTCTATTGTGGAGTGAGACCTGACATTTATGTGATTTTTCTAATATACCAGGATAGATTCTTGGCATATGGCCCTGAGCAACATCCTATAGTGCTTCAAATTGGGGGAAATAATTTGGAGAACTTGGCCAAAGCGACACAACTGGCAACTCCATATGGCTATGATGAAATTAATTTTAAGTGCGTTCTGCTTTTCCTATCTAAAATATAGGTTTCTAGCTTTTGTTCAGACCCATAATTGATACTTTTTCTCTATTATATAACAGTTGTGGATGTCCTAGCCCCAGAGTAGCTGGACATGGATGTTTTGGTGTGCGCCTCATGCTTGATCCAAAGGTTCAGATTTGTTTGCTTGATTCATCAAATATTATTTATCTGTATAGTTGCTCTGATATATGCACAACCTTTACAAGGAAAGTTTGTTGCTGAGGCCATGTGCGTAATTGCTGCAAATACAAATGTTCCCGTGAGTGTCAAATGCAGAATTGGACTTGATGACCATGACTCATACAATGAACTATGTAAGCTCTTCAAAATTTCCCTCGCTCACAGGAAATGAGAATCAAAATTCAATTCTCCAATTATCAGTCTTTTGATTTTTACTTGTTCCTTTCTCGTCTTGTCGGTTACAACTCCATTTTTATGTTCTGACCTTGCTTCAAGAAAATCATCAAAATTGAGCTCCTTTAGTTTCTTTATAATATATTTCCAAGCAAGTCTTGCTGACCTTGTAACGGTTGGACTTTTGAGTAGATCATAGAAAGCTGACAATATCTTGTAATTATGAACTAGAAGCAAATTGCATGACCACTTAACTCAGAGCAGAAGCCATGTTACACTTCAAGTGGCTATGTTTCATATGGTCTTTTTGTTCCCTTTGAGCATACTGTATTAGTAGGTCTGTGGAGACTATAGGGGATCACCTCTGTACTTGCACACGCGTTGACACGAGTTACTCAACCATTCCCTCCCCATGTTGGATCTGAAATTAGATGTGTCATCATACATATAAGAAAGAGAAGTGGAAATCATAATTAAGTTATCCAAAAATGTTTCTACATAAAACTTTCTCAACTAGGTTAGCTGATAGCTTGGTACATTGTTTGTCTTAAACATAATTCCAGATTTCCCCTTCTTGGTATATAATATACATAACCCATTAGGCTTATATGCATCATCACTGGATGATTTAAATAAGAGTTCTGATCATTAACAGCTAGATGATACAGATACAAAGTTCATGTTATATTACTAGATGCCACAGAATTAGGCATCTTAGCTTCTTGCGTGTTCATCTATATTTTGGGTACATGACCCTTTAGTTGACATTCTTATATAATTTGCTAAGTCCTAGCAAGTTGCATGCTTAATTTGGCCGAGTATGTGAATCTCATGCATATTTTCTATATCTGTCTACTGCTGCTGTTTAGGATATTTCTTATGTTTGTATGCACTAGAGCTAGCTATGATGAGAGCTTGGTTCTGCCTCATTTTATCGGAACAAAGCTATTAAAAGTAAAAAAGAGAACGTGGGAAGTGTTGTCTTAGAACTCAGTGACCTTCCCAGCAAATTTTACCCTATCTAAGATAGGTTAGTTGCACAAGTTGGGGCGGTAAATAGTACTGTTATCATTGTTATAGATAAGAAAAAATTGACCTCTTCCTTTCATGTGTACAGGTGATTTTATTTACAAGGTTTCTTCTCAGTCACCAACTCGTCATTTTATTATACACTCGCGGAAGGCATTACTTAATGGAATCAGCCCAGCAGATAATCGAAGAATTCCCCCACTCAAGTATGCAATTTGTCATAGCTTAATAGTCCAGCAAGGATTTACAACAATGAAACAAGTGAAATTATATATCTCTATTTAATCATTTACTGGTGTCTTTGTAGCTGAGACATTGAGCTACTACATGCCTATTATTAGATCTTAATAGTTGTTCCTAATCACTGATAAATAAAGATCTTAACAGTTGTTCATAATGACCACTTAAATTGGCCATTGACAGGTATGAGTACTATTATGCGCTTTTGCGTGATTTCCCTGATCTACAGTTCACAATAAATGGAGGCATAAATTCTATTGATGAGGTAAGTATCTCAAACCTAATATGGAATTAACATGTATTTATTTGTGAAAATGTTGCTACAAATGATAAAAACAAATGTGCTGAAAAAATGAGTTATGCACTATGACCTTAGGGGTCGTTTGGTAGCTGGATTGTGTTGTGTAGGTATTAATAATATGGGTATTAGTTATGTAGGGTTTAGTTATGCATGGTTTAATTATACATGTATTAATTATGCAAGGTTTAGTTATACATGTATTAGTTATGTAGGTAGGTATTAGTTATGCAGGGTTCAATTATGTAGAGATTACAAACATTAGTGAGCTAATTTTTATTTCTTAATTCCAAAAAATAATTAGTGAGCTAATATTTATTATAACCAGTGTTTTAAAAGGTGGGGGCGTGAGGCGAGACGTTCTATGTAGTACAGGGCGAGAAGTAAGCCCCAAGACACGGGGCGTAAGTCTTATGGATCTATGGGGCGTAGTCTCATGTATATTCAATTTTATAATTTTACTAGTAAAATTACGCGGGAATTTAATATCACGAAATTTATAAAATAATACTTAAAACCTATCAGACATTAAAACTAAAACACTATATTATCTTACATACAAGATTACGTAGTAACAAACATTAATTATGTAAGGAAAAATGAAATTTATTACATCTTATCATTTATCCTTAATAACATAAGCATAAATTATAAATTAATAATTGTAAAATACATACCGGGATCTGTAACATAAGCAATAGTGTCAGTGAGTCACTCAACAGGAGCAAAGTATACAAATATTTAATTGAGAAGAAGAAGAAGAAGAAGAAGAAGAGGAGGAGGTTCAGAGTTTTTGTTGTGTTAAAATGAGAGGAAATCCCTTTATTTATAGACAACAAAGGGTAGTGTGAACAAATGTTTATTGTGCCTTATCAGAAAGGTTACAACTATTTGGAAAAGTTGCAACCCTTCGGAAATGTCATAACCTTTCATAAAAGTCATTTTTCAAAAAAATCGCAACTCTTCATTAAAGTCGCAACTTTTTATATAAGTCACAACTATTCAGTAAAGTCGTAACTTTTCATAAAAGTTGCAACTTTTCATGAAATGGAGGGCTAATTTTGTAAATAAATAAATTAAAAGAGAATTCTGATTTGTGGCGGCGCCACGTAGGTGGGTCTAAGGTTCTCTTTTATATATATATATATATATATATATATGATTACTAAGAAAATTAATAAAAGTAGAACTTTCAATTATTTTAAAGGCGGGGGCGTAAGGCGAGATGTTTTATGTAGTACGGGGCAAGACATAAGCCCCGAGACACAGGGCGTAAGTCTTATGGATCTACGAGGGCGTAGTCTCATGTATATTCAATTTTATAATTTTATTACTAAGAAAATTAGCAGAAGTAAAACTTTTAATTATTTACCCTTCGGGGTGGCCCAGTGGTTTGGGCTTGGGACTTCCATGTTGGAGGTCTCAAGTTCGAAACCCCTTGCCAGCGAAAGCAAGGGGTTTGCCTTCTGGGTCGAGCTCGTCGCGTCGGGCTTGCCTAGTGCGGGCTACCTCTCCTATGTGCTTTGCGAGCTATTGCATAGGAACAGGGGTTTTACTCTGTGCCCACCCAAAGGGTAGCGGCTGCGGGTTTCCCTGTCATCAAAAAAAAACTTTTAACAATTATTTTACAAATAAATTTTAATAAATAATCTATAATATATAGAAAAAAGTGTTATGATTTTTATTTGAGAAAGGTATTAATAAGCAATATTGAAGAAAAAAAGTATTACAATTACTATTCGAGTAATATCATTGCACCAATAATACAAAATATAATTAAAGCAAAAAAAGGTTCAAAAACCAAAAAAAATAAAAAAATGCCCAAGGTGGCATACGTTTTTACGCTTGGAGCTTACGCCCTGTGGATCTAAGTCTTTAATTTGTGCCCCAGAGCGTTTTTGATTCGCCCCAAAAAACATTTTTGAAATCACTGATTATAATCATTAAAATAACCAACTATATAAATAACACATTAAAATTAATATATGAATAACTTTGATACTATCATTGTTATAGATAAGAATAACAATGCTATTGGTATTTATTTAATTTTAATGTGTTATTTATATAGTTGGTTATTATAAGTATTAGCTCACTAATTATTTTGAAATTAAGAAATAAAAATTAGCTCACTAATATATTGTAATCTCTACCTATGCATAACTAATACCCACATAACTACTATATGTATAACCAAACCACGCAAAACTAAACCCTGCCTAACTAATACATGTATGACTAAACTCTGCGTAACTAATACCCACATTACTAATACCTGCATAACTCTATCCAGCTACCGAACGACCCCTCAGGCGGGAGCATTTCCTTTATTTTCAGCAAAACAAGCTACATTAGGATGGTTTGGTCTTTGATATAATGCATGATATCTGATCCATTTAAAACACCATATAAGTTCCATGGCTATGACATTCTCTTGATAAACTTCTTTTTTTCGATGACTACATTCTCTTGATAAACTTCTTCCGGTGATAAATGACTTATCAAAAAAAAAAAAAAACAGAGATGCATTTATATGCTCTTTCTTAGTTGGCAAAATTCTAGATATTATGGCCTCTAGCATTTCAGGGTCCCAATCTTGCGCAAATTAGGCTCAGGAATCTTTCTGAGAAGTTCAAAACTAAATGGTTTTTTGTCTTTCTTGCACATTGATTGTGTAAGCTTTGTGAAACTTCATATTTGCACGTAGGATTTCTTCTACATATGCCAATGTTTTTGTGGTTATTCATATTCTATGTTAATGCTGCATTCTTATAGTACCTGACCCCTTTTCTGGTTATTCATTTGTAGGTTAATGCAGCACGTATGGAAGGAGCTCATGGGGTTATGCTGGGACGTGCAGCTTACAGCAAGTATGGAAAGTGTCAATACTAGTAACCTTTTCAATAATTCATCCAGATATTATTGTGACTTTGTTAGTTTGATAGATGTCTACATATTTGTATCATCCCTGCTCCTAGATGTCTACATAATTGTTTTAAACTATTACCACTAGTCTCTTTTATTTACTACTCGACACTTGACCTCCTGGATATAGATGTTTTATGGATTCTGTAGGTTTGTCCTCTTCTCCCATAATGTCCTTGTAGATCTTGCTAGTTGAGAATTGTAAGTTCGAGATAACCGCTAAAATTGAAAAATAAAAATAATCTTTTGTCTGTAGAGAACTTGAGAGACAATGTCCATTAGCTTTTCTTTTAGCGTGTATTGCCAATAAAGCAGATTGTTATCTGAAGAAAGGTGACTTCTATAGCATGTGAAATTTTAAAATTGTAAATATGCTGTGAACTTCAACTTAATGGTTTTGAGCTATTCTGTCTGGATAAACTTGTCAGTGTGGATCCATGTGATAGGTGGATTATTGGTAGGTAGAAACTTTTGATATTTGTCGGGTTGTTTAAGAAAAAGAAGAGCAGCCTTTTGGCATCTGTAGGGGAATATGTGAAAAATATCTTGTGCATGTAATTGCATTGGTGATTTGTTGGTTCAGTGTGTCAGTATTGTGACTCTAATTCTAGTTTTTTGGTTCAATAATGCAGAATGACAAACCCCATCATATGTTTTGAACCTCTAACTGCTAACCTTGACACCTAGTTTTTTTTTATATGTCATTTTCTTGACATGTTAAGACAACTCATGCTTTAGACAGTCCATGGCAGATTCTAGGACGTGTTGACAGTGCTGTATATGGTGCACCTCTTCGTAGTATAACCCGGCGCCAGGTTCTCATTGCCATCTGTAACTGATTTTTTTAGTGAAATTTTCCTAATTAAATAACATATGATCTCATTATTACTCACGTCTTCGTGTTGGCAGGTTCTTGAGCAATATCAGGTCTATGGTGACTCAGTCGTTAGAATGTATGGACTTAAGCCCCATATTCGGGATGTTGTCAAGGTAGGGTCACTCTTCATTTTACCCTTTTGAGCTGTTAACCTTAGCTGCGTCTGGAGTTTGTACATAAACACACTTCTTTTTAAAGCTTAGTGGACAATTTTTCTTTTGTCCTGGACATTGTCACCCTACTGATGCATAGTTTGCCTTTTTTCCTCATAATTGTTGTCATAACATTTCGTGAGGGCTTTGGTCCAAAAACATTTTACTGATATCATCATTTTAACTTTTTCCTGTACAGCCTCTGCTTGGTCTATTTCATGCAGAGCCTAGAAATGTTGTGTGGAAGCGCAAGGTTGATGCTGCTCTCCTGCGCTGCACGGTATGTCACCATTGAATTATGACAATTGTTTGTCCTCTCTTTAATAACCGTAACAGTGGGAATTGCTCTTTCCATTGCCATATTCTTGCTGTGGTGCAATTATATCTTTCACCCAGTATGAAATTTGTTCCCTGCTATCACAATTTCTGAAGTGACTCTCTAGTTTCATTTTCCCAACTTTAATCGGATTTACCAAGTTTAGAGAAAATTGTTTGGATGAGTTATAATGTTTCTTTATGGAGGAGATATATTTTATCAAAAAATAACCATGGGAAGATGTGAAAATGGTAGCATTGCTACATACTCCCTCTGTTTCATATTACTTGGTCCCTGTTGACCTGGCACACCCATTGTATTAATGATGCTTTGGAACTCTAAAATTGACTACCACTATATTGTAGTTACATTTAATACTAAGGGTAGTTTGAGAAAAAAGTAGTACTAATAAAATTTTCTTGCTTTGCAAACTAGACAAGTAAAATGAAACATATATTTATGACTTTATGATATTCATAGACCTTGCTATTTTAGGAAAGATGTCACATTCACATGCATTTTAATAACATTCATCTCTGAATGGAAGAATGGTATCAGGAAAAATAGTTCGATGTGTCTATCTTGCCATCCAGGAGAAAGCTCTGTGAAATTTTGTTAGTCGCTGGCAGGGTTACTGTAAATGTTCACATTTATCAATATATGTGTTTAATATATGTCCCTACATCATCAATATGTGCGTTTAAAATTGTATTTCTATGTTGTCTAAATCCCCTTTTCATTTGGGTCCTGCTGTAAGCTTTTGCTTAAATTTTTTTAACTGATTTTAAACCTTGTAGACAATCAAATCCATTCTCGAGGAGACGTTAGGGGAAATTCCAGACAGAGTCCTTGATGCCCCCCTTACAGAAATGCCCTCTGGTAGTAGTGATACGTTCATTAAGGCGAAGAGTTTGTTACCTCCACCATACACAGTAAGTGAAGAAGAGTTACTGTAAGCTTAAATATACATATTTTTTCCCCTTTGTGTTTGTATTCAATGAAATATATTCATTCTTTCAGTATTATGTATTTTAAGTGCCTCATTTTTTGGGAGGCCATCTATCCCAATGTAACCAGCTACATGGCTTGTAAGAGTGAAAATCTTACACTCACTGCTGCTCTGAACAAGAAGCAGGTGCTACTGAGTACTGACATATTTTTCTAATTTTTTTCACTATCTTTACATAGGAAGAATTTGATAGGAATAGTGAGAAGTTGAATCCTTTATCTATTGTGTAAAAGATTCATGACTAAACTGGAAGCCTTGATGTTATTAGATTCTTAGAATTTCGTGCACAAGATATTTTTCACATATTCCCTACATATATTTTAAACTACCAGACTACAGTAGCAAAAACCACTGTTACAGCCCGTGTTTTAAAAGGGGCGTGAGACAAAGTGTTTTATTTAGCATGGGTGAGGTGAAAGCTTATCAACAACAACAACATACCCAGTGAAATCCCACTAGGTGGGGTCTGGGGAGGGTAGAGTATACGCAAACCTTACCACTACCTCGTGGAGGTAGATGAAAGCTTATATATCTTTTAAATTTTTAATTTATAATGGAGTAAAATAATATAATAATACGTTATTAGTCTAAAAGCAAGTAAAAACATGATTAAAAGAAATAAAACTTCAAAAATAATTTTACAAGTCTAAATAATGTATGTATTTGATATAAAATTTATTATGAGAGGCAAATCAACTCTAATTTTTTAAAAGTCTCAACTTTTCAAACATAAAAGGAATCATAATATCTTAAAACATATTACTATCATATTATGCAAATTACCTCTTTAAAAAGAAAATAATTTATTTTCGGTAAATTTATTAGTATTATAATAATTATGTTGCCCTGTTTATCTTCAACGCAATAGTGCTCAATCAGTTAGTTATTATACACTTTTTCAAGGATAACTGCTTATAAGCAAAAAAAGCATCATTTCATCATATATAAAAATATGATTATTTTCAAATAGCAAAATATAAAAATATTACTTAATTTTGAGACATATAATAAAAAAACATGAAAGACAGTGATAAGTGAAGATGTCATGTTTGACTATATATATTAATAAGAAATGTTAAATAATACATACACTCACAAGTCACAATATTCTTAAATAATATATCTGCATTAGTACGACTTGTTATTGAGTCTCTTGTTAATTAAGTTACTCTCATTCTTCTTATTTCTATAGATATAATAACTAATGAATTTAATACATAATGAGGGTTATTCATTTACTAAAAAATAACGAGGGTCAACAATATTAACTAACAAATTTGACATACTTCTTCTGTCTCATATTAGTTGATCGATCATCTTACTAAATTAAAAAAGCATTAATTAATTTTTTTTAATTACCCTTGCAATTAATTCTTTTGAAAATATTCACATTTGTTTATAAAATTCTCAAGAAATTTTTAAGGGGTGAATTAGTAAAAATCATCTTTTAATTTAAGATTTCTTAAGCACCGTGCAAAATGGAAACTACTATGAAACAAAGGGACTATAATTTTTGTAAAATTTGTTAGGCGCATTTTGCATGTGTTTCCTAGGGCTAGACATGGTATGGTATGGTATAGTACAGTATTTGAAATTTTGGTACCGTAATTTCAGTATTCGATTTTTAAAACTATTATATCACTACCATATCAATTTAATTCGATATGGTTCGGTATTTTGAAGTACGATTTCGGTATTTTGCGGTATGGTAAATCGGTAACCCTATTTTGTTCAACTTCAACTAATATATACTCGTATAATTGAGTATTATGACTTCGGCAATTCAAAAAAATGTCTCAATTGTATCATTCTAACACATTATACATGTAGAAATATATATTTAAAAGAAAGTACAAACAACTCATTTTGTTAATCAAATACATTTCAATAAATTAGAATAGTCAAAGTTTTAAGTTCTAAATATTTTGTTATTTATGTAACTATATACTTAGGTATTTCGGTATGTTGTTTCTAAATATCAAATACAATATCGAATATAAAAGAAATTAAAATATATATCATATACCGATCAAATGCCATAATATCAAAATCACAGTATCAAAAATTTCAATATAATATGGTAATTCAGTATATATCATACCATGCCCGCCCACCCATAGTGCCTCGCTTTGAGGTGACTCCCAAAATTGTCTTTTGAAGTTACAATTACGAGAAAATGACATAAATAGTCTCTTAACTATATGAGTAAGTCTAAAATGGTCCCTTAACTATACACTTAACGGATTTAGTCCTTTAACTATTCAAAAACTTATCAGCTTTGGTCTCTTAACTATACATTTACCGGTTTTAGTCCATTAACTATAAACTTACCAATTTTAGTCCTTTAAGTATTCAAAAACTTATCAGCTTTGGTCTCTTAACTATACATTTACCGGTTTTAGTCCATTAACTATAAACTTACCAATTTTAGTCCTTTAAGTATTCAAAAACTTATCAGCTTTGGTCTCTTAACTATACATTTACCGGTTTTAGTCCATTAACTATAAACTTACCAATTTTAGTCCTTTAAGTATTCAAAAACTTATCAGCTTTGGTCTCTTAACTATACATTTACCGGTTTTAGTCCATTAACTATAAACTTACCAATTTTAGTCCTTTAAGTATTCAAAAACTTATCAGGTTTGACCTTTGTCCATTTTTCAAATACAAATAGCTTAGGTTTATATTAACGGAAAGTTTCGTGAAATTAAATCTTTAACCCATTTTTTAAGTTGTTTCTCTGTTCCCGCCATTTTTTCTTCAAACTACTCTTATGAAAAGAACAATAACGTCAACGATTCAAAATAAAATTAATGAGAAAATAAGATATAAGTCCTAATTTTATTCAATAGAGGATAAAATTAAGCATACAATTGTTGTTAATGACTTGAATCCGCACTTGAATATGCTAATCAATGCGGATTTTATTTAATTTACTCAAATTTCTTTACGTAAAATAAAATGAATAGAATAATAAAATTGATCTATTTAAAAAAAAAAATGCAAATCTACCATTTTATAAATTTCAATTTCTAAAATATTAAACAAATTCCGTTTAATGAAGTCGTTGGAGTACAAACTTTGGATTTAATGGGTAATAATTTTTTCCTTTTTATAATAAAGTTTAGCATATTCAAGTCATTAGTAGCAATAATATGCTTCATTTTATCCTCTGTTGAATAAAATTATGACTTATATTTTCTTTTCCCGTGAATTTTATTTTAAATCGTTGAGGTTGAGGTTCTTCGCATAAAGTTAATTTGAAGAAAAAGTAGCGGAGGGAGAGAAACAAAAGAAAGTTGCTAAAGGATTTAATTTCTCGAGGCATGAATTTCGTTAATATAAACCTAAGCTATTTGTATTTTAAAAAATGGACAAAGACCAAACATGATAAGTTTTTGAATACTTAAAGGACTAAAATTGGTAAGTTTATAGTTAAGAGACTAAAACCGATAAGTGTATAATTAAGGAACCAAAACTGATAAGTTTTTGAATAGTTAAAGGACTAAATTCGTTAAGTGTGTAGTTAAGGAACCATTTTAGACCTATTCCTACAGTTGACTAAGGACTATTTATGTCATTTTCTCTTACAATTACTAACACTAACCCGACCCGTCGAAAAACCCGACCCAAGAATACCCCCAAATCGCCTGTCCTCTTGTAATGCCAATTTGTATTCAATGGATAAGTAGATACCAGAGCAGCAAACTCTAAGCTTGGAGGGAAGATGAAATCTGCGGGACATTGTTTGATTGCTTCTATAACTCCTTTTCATTCTGTTATCCGTTTTGGTAGATTCTCATCAAACTTGTTCTATGGAAGTTCAAGCAAACCAAGGACATTGTGTGCTTATCATCAAAACTCCAAGCTCCACTCTGCTTCTCTAATGGCTGCAGAGCGCTATCCTCCTCCTTGGTTCAGGTGCCTGCATATATTTAACTCCAGTTTTCTCTGTTTACAATGTTAATAAGCTCCCTAATAGTTGTTTATTTAGGGTGTGTTCGGTATGAAGGAAAATGTTCTATTAGGAAAAATAAATGAGTTTCTTAGTTATTTTCTTCTGTTCATTAGCTAAGCAAAAATAATATTATCCTAAAAACATTTGTATACAACCTAGACAAATACTCACTATACGAGTGGACGTGGGGGTAGTGAGGGTGGGGGGTATGGGGGCAAGGGTGATGATGAGGTGTGTCGGAGAATGGGGAAGACACAATCAAGGTGGAATGTCACTTGTTTTTCTTACTTCCAGTGGGGAAGTCATTTTACCTGATTTAAGTTATTTGTTATCATAGAAATAATGTTTTTTCAAAAAATAAATAATTAACCAACTGAACATGAGAAAATTGAAAAACATTTGAGAAAATGTTTTCCTCCATAATGAAGTCCGAACACACCCTTAATAGCCAAGAATAGCTCCCTAATATTTGTAGGCCTTTGTATTTTAACAGTGTTGCCCCCATGATGGACTGGACGGATAACCATTACAGAACTTTGGCCCGTCTTATCTCAAAAAAGGCATGGCTCTACACAGAAATGATTGCTGCAGAAACAATTGTCTACCAGACTGGCAATTTGGTAAAGTAATGCTGCATGTAATGAGACTCTAGTGCTTCTCTACCATACTATAAAGTACTTTGTTGTTTCTCACTGATAACTAGAGCTAAGCAAAAAGAAGAGAATTAAGCGAGCTAATCTTTTGTTCTTATTCTAGACAAAAAGAAATGAAAAAGAGAAGAACATTTACCATTCTTCCAAATATCCTTCTGAAGGTGTGCATTGTTGCAGCCCCGGGGGATTCGGTCCTAGTGGTTAGAGTGAGGGTGCGTGATGTGTGGGGTTAGACACACGCCATGGGCTTGAAACCTGCTGCAGACAAAAATGTTGTATTTAAAAGGAGAAGGTTTTCTTGGCTGGGTCATGAAAATTGGGTTGATTTAAATCAAGTAACATCCAACTGAGTTGCAAAACATGTGCACTTAGCCCTCGGGGATTTCTCGGTTATTTGTTTTTTTTTCTAAAAGAAGAAAAGGTGTGGATTGTTGCACTCCCTCTGCCGCAGTTTTTGTTTTCAGTTAGCATTTGGCAAGCTACATGAATTGGAACCGTGCCATAGTAAGTAAAGGCCCACAATTACACAGGATTCAAACTAGTCTACTAGTATAATTTAACTCAAGTGTACAGATTAATTTTTTCACTAAATGTGCATAAATCAAATATCTAATAATTTTATTTTATCCATTTGCTGTAAGACTAGACACAGTGAAGTAGTCAAAAGTTGCCTTATGTAATCTTGATCCTCTGACCGCCATCCCCATTTTTTTTATGATAAAAGGAAATAGTGACTATATGTCTCTGTGGGTATATACCTGCTTTCAACATAATGTAAACTGACCATTTACAAAGAGGAGTTTACAGTTAACACTTTTATGGGTGAACTGCCAACTCCAAGGTCAAGGCCAGATACTTAGTTCTACTTTTTTTTTGGGTTAGTCTTACACCTGTTTTTAACCCTGATGTTTTCTTGGATTTTGGCAGCTCACTAGTCCTTTGATAGTTTTATTTTTTGTCCATTCTAGGAGCTGACTCTTCCTACTTCTGTAATTATGCATCTGCTGGATGCTTTGTTTATCAATTCACCACTTATTTCATCAAAAGAAAAGTTTTTAACTTTTATGGGTGGTGCCTGAAAACACTGGTTTGATTGACTAAATAGATGGATTGGACCGTTATTTTTTCAATTATTACAACAAAAAAAAATTGGGTTGTCTTTTGAGGTTCAAGTTAGCCAAATTGGTTGGTCATTTGCGTTCTCCTAAACTAGGACCCTTGTCGCAGTTAGTTGTTCCCATAGAAAACAAATGTTTATTTTGTTAATATAACATGTGTGGGTAAGAAGGGGACCTAGATGATATATTATTGTGTCCTAGGTAGATCTCCTAAAGGAATTTCTCGTACTGGTAGGTTACTATGTTTGCCGCTTGGACCTTTAAGTGCAGCTTGTCACTGACTAATGGTTGTGTATCTATCAGCCTGTAAGATCTGGCATTTATGTGATTCTTCTAATATACCAGGATAGATTCTTGGCATATGGCCCTGAGCAACATCCTATAGTGCTTCAAATCGGAGGAAATAAATTGGAGAACTTGGCCAAAGCAACGCAACTGGCAACTCCTTATGGCTATGATGAAATTAATCTTAAGTTAGTTCTGCTTTTCCCATCTACCATATAAGTTTCTAGCCTTTTGTTTAGACCCATAACTGATACTTTTCCTCTATTATCTATTAGTTGTGGATGTCCGAGCCCAAAAGTAGCTGGACATGGGTGTTTCGGTGTGCGCCTCATGCTTGATCCGAAGGTTCAGATTTGTTTGCTTGATACATCAAATACATTATTTATCTGTAGAGTTCCTCTGATATATGCATAACTTATATAAGGAAAGTTTGTTGCTGAGGCCATGTCCGTAATTGCTGCCAATACAAATGTTCCTGTGAGCGTCAAATGCAGAATTGGAGTTGATGACCATGACTCATACAATGAACTCTGTAAGCTCTTCAAACTTCCATTCATTCACATGAAACTAGAACAAAAAAAGTCTTCAATTCTTGATTTTTTTATTTTCACTTGATGTTTCTTTCTCTTGTGTGGGTTATGATCCAGCATGTTTGTTTTATGCTCCAACCTTGCTTCAAGAAAATCATCAAAATTGAGCTTCATTAGTTTGTCCAAAATAATCTTCCAACTTTCAAGTAGGCTTTTGCTGTCCTTGTAGCTGCTTGGACATTCGAGTAGATCTTAGAAAGCTGACAATAACTTGTAACTATGAACTAGAAGCAAATTGCATGATTACTTAACCTGGAGCAGAAGCGATGTTACACTTTCAGGTGGCTATATTTCACCTGGTCTTTTTGTTCCTTTTGAGCAACAATGTATTAGTAGATTTGTGAAGACTAGATGGGAGCACCTCTGTACTTGCACACACGTTGACACAAGTTACTTAATAGTTCTCTCCCCATGCTGGATCTGAAATTAAATGTCATCAAACATAAGAAAGAGAACTGGAGATCATAATTTAATATAAACAGTGCTGGTTCTTTGTCTCTGCAAGGGCTTATGCTTAAAAATTCTATGTAGGGTAATATGCGTAGTGGCTTAACCGAAAAAGTTTCCACGTAACTCTTTCTCAACCAGGTTAGCTGATAGCCTGGTACATTGTTTGACATGATTCTCATGCATATTTTTCTACTACTGTTATTTAGGATAGTTCTTATGTTTTGTATGCACTAGGGCTAGCTAAGATAGGGGTGGGCATGGTACGGTATGTTACGGTATTTAAAATTTTTGATACCGTAACTTCGGTATTCGGTATCTAGAGTACTATACCATTACCATACCAAATTAGCTCGGTATGGTTCGGTATATTTAATTTCGGTTTACCCTTCGGGGTGGCCCAGTGGTTTGGGCTTGGGACTTCCATGTTGGAGGTCTCAAGTTCGAAACCCCTTGCCAGCGAAAGCAAGGGGTTTGCCTTCTGGGTCGAGCTCGTCGCACCAAGCTTGCCTAGTGCGGGTTACCTCTCCTATGTGGTTTGCGAGCTATTGCATAGGAGCGGGGGTTTTACCCTGCGCGCACCCAAAGGGTAGCGGCTGCGGGTTTCCCTTGTCATCAAAAAAAATATTTAATTTCAGTTTCGGTATTTTACGGTATAGTATTCGGTAACCATAATTTGTTTGACTTCGACTTACATATATATACATAACTCTCCATACAATTTATTTAGCAAACAAGTTAGAACCATTCTCTTTGTCCTTTAGCAAGTATTCTTGCAAGACCAATATGATGATCAACATGAATATGAGAAATTCAAAAGCACAAGTCTCAATCATATTAGATCGACAACTACTTTTGTTAAATAATTTCACAAAAAGAATATTTCAATAACAATTGAATAGTCATAGATGCAAAGTTTAAAATAACATTATCTAAAATTATGCATAGCCCTATATAATTTTACACCACAAAAATCATTCACTAACCTGTAGACTCTAACTTGACATATACCACTATGTCAAGTTAGAGTCTACATGTTAGTGAATTAATTTTATAGATTATTATAAAATTTCGGTATGGTATACGGTATTTCGGTATTTATTTTATAAATACCAAATACCGTACTGAATACCAAAAAAAATTAAGGGTCATTCTAAATACCATACCAAATACCATAATATCCATACCGCGGTATAAAATTTTTTGATTTCGGTGTGGTATTCGATATATACCATACCATGCCCACCCCTAAGCTAAGATGAGTGCTTGATTCTGCTTCATGTTTATCAGAACACAGCTATTAAAAGGAAAAAAAGAAAGAGAGAGAAGAATATGAAAAGTGTTGTCTATAAACTGATTGACCTTCCCAATGAGTCTTACCCTATCAGTTAACATGGTGTAGTTCCCCCAGTTGGTGTGGTAAATAGTACTGCTATCTTCTCCATAAATTAGAAAATATTGACCTTCCCTTTCATGTGTACAGGTGATTTTATTTATGAGGTTTCTTCTCAGTCACCAACTCGGCATTTTATTATACATTCTCGGAAGGCATTATTGAATGGAATCAGCCCAGCAGATAATCGAAAAATTCCCCCACTCAAGTACGCAGTTTGTAATAGCTTAATAATCCAGCAAGGATTTATGATAATGAACCAAGTGAAATTAGATATCTCTATTTAATCATTTACTGGTGTATTTGTAGCCAAGACTTTCCTGTCTTTATATCTCAACAACTGTTCCTAATCACTGATAAACAAAAAGATCTTAATAATTGCTCATACTGACTAGCTAAGGTGGGCATTGATAGGTATGAGTACTACTATGCCCTTTTGCGTGATTTCCCTGATCTGCAGTTCACTATAAATGGAGGCATAACTTCTATTGAGGAGGTAAGTATCGCAAACCTATATGGAGTTGACATGTACTAATTTGTGAAAAAATGCTTTTAAAATGCTAAAATCAAATGTGAATAAGTTCTCCACTATTACTTTACTGTCAGTCAGGAATCAGGATTATTTCCTTTATTTTGAGCATAATAAGTTGCATAAGGATGGATTGGTGTTGACAGAATGCTGGATGTCTGATCCATTTAAATTACCTAATAGTCCCACATCTTGAGAAGGCTATGATATCTCCTTGATAAGCTTCTTTCTGTGAAAAATAACTTGTCAAAAAAAGAAAAGAAAAATTTAAAAGAGATGCATTTATATGCTCTTTCTTAGTCGACAAAAATCTGGATACATATTATGCCCCTAGCAATTCAGAGTCCAATCTTGTGCCAATTTAGGCTTGGGAAGTTTCGCTGAAAACTGTATAACTAACTGGTTTCTAGTCTGTCTTGCGCATTGATTGTGTAAGGCTGTAAGCTTTGTCAAACTTCATACTTCCACATAGGATTTCTTCTCCATTTGCCGATCTTTTGGTGCATATTCATATTCTATTTTAATGCTGCACTCTCATAATACCTAACCCTTTTTTGTGGTTGTTGCATTTGTAGGTTAATGCAGCATGTACAGAAGGAGCTCATGGGGTTATGGTGGGACGTGCAGCTTATGGCAAGTACGAAAAGTGTCTAAGTTCGTAGCCGTTTCAATATTTTGACCTTGTTAGTTTGATAGATGTCTACATATTTGTATCATCCCTTCTCCTAGATGTCTACATATTTGTTTTACACTTTACTACTGGTTTCTTTTATCTACTAGACACCTGTGTATGACCTCCCAAATATGGATGTTCTATGGATTCTATATGTTTGTCATATTCTCCTGTAATGCCTTTGAGGATACTTTTGAGAAGAATGTCCTTGTAGATCATGCAAGTTGAAAATTGTAGGTTTGTGCTAACCATTAAATTGAAAAATAAAAATGGTCTCTAGAGAGAACTTGAAAGACAATGCCCATTGGCTTCTCTTTAAGTTGGTACTCCCAATAAAGCAGTTAGTTATCTGAAGAGAGGTGGCTTTTACACTCTTCGGGGTAGCTCAGATGGTTTTGCTTGGGACTTCCATAATGGAGGTCTCAAGTTTGAAACCTCTTGCTTGTGAGAGCAGGGGGTTGGCCTTCCTGGTTGAGCTTGTCACAGGGGGTTTGCTTAGTGCGGTTTACCTCTTGTGTGCACCCAAAGGGTAGTGGCTGGGGGTTCCCTTGTCAACAAAAAAAAGAAAAGAAAAGAGAGGTGGCATTTACAACACATGAATAGAGTTGTAAATATGCTGTGAACATCAAATTTATTGTTTTAAGCTATTCTGTCTGGATAAACTTTTCTGTGTGGATCCATAGGAGAGATGGATTCTTGGTAAATAGAAGCTTTTGATATTTGTAGGATTTTTTGAGAAAAAGAAGAGCAGCAACCTTTTGACCTCTGTGGGGAATATGCAAAAAAATATCAAGTAACTGCTTCACCAAGAAAAAATAAAAAATCAAATAACTGTAACTGAGTAGTGGACATCATGTGATAAGTGGGGATCTTGTGCGTGTAATTTCATTGGTGATTTGCTGTTCAGTGGGTCTATATTGTGATTCTGATTCTGATTCTAGCTTTTGGTTCGATAATGCAGAATGATCAACCCCATCATATGTTTTGAAGCTCTAACTGCTAAGCTTGACATCTAATTTTTTATTAGGTTTCTCATTTTTTTTGACATGTTAAGACAACTCATGCTTTTGACAGTCCATGGCAGATTCTAGGACTTGTTGACAGCGCTGTATATGGTGCACCTCTTCGTAGTATAACACGGCGCCAGGTTCTCATTGCCATCTGTTTGTTTTTTTTGGAGTGAAATATTCCCACTTAAATAACATATGGTCTCATTGTTACTCATGTCTTCATGGTGGCAGGTTCTTGAACAATACCAGGTCTATGGGGATTCAGTCCTTAGAATATATGGGCCTAGGCCAACTGTTCGGGAAGTTGTCAAGGTAGGGTCTCTCGTCACTTTATTATTTTTAGCTATTAGCCTTAGCTGTGTCTGGAGTTTTGCAAGCTAAACACACTTTTAAAAGCTTAGTTAGCGAGTTTTCTATCTTCCTCATTCTTTTGTTTTCTTAGTTTAACATTTTATTAGGGCTTTGACTCCCAAAACATTTTATTGTTGTAATCATTTTAACTTTTCCCTGTACAGCCTTTGCTTGGCCTATTCCATGCAGAGCCTAGAAATGTTGTGTGGAAGCGTGCGGTTGATGCTGCTTTCCGGCACTGCACGGTATGTCACTATTGAATTATGACAATAAGAAGTGCTCTCTTTAATAATCATGACAGTTGGAATTGCTCTTTCCATTGCCATATTCTTGCTGTGATGCAATTATCTTTCACCTAGAATGGAACAAGTTTCTGACACTCATTTTCCCGAGTGGAATAGGATTTTTATTGTATAGAGAAAATTGTTTGGAAGAGTATAATGTTTCTTTATTGTGGAGCCATAGTAAAATAACCATGGGAAGACATGAAAATGGTAGTGTTGCTAAATATTAATTTGACTTTATGAAATTCGTGGACCTTGCTATTTAGGAAAGATGTCACATTCGCGTGTAGTTTAAGCACCATCACTGAACATGGTATCAGAAAAAATAGTTTGATGTGCCTATACGGCCCATCAGGAGCAAGCTCTGTTAGATTTTTGTTAGTCACTGGCAGGGTAACTTTAAATTGTCACACATGTCGATATATCTGTTTAAAACTGTATTTCTATGCTGTCTAAAGTCCCTTTCCATTCAAGTCCTCCTGCAGTAAGCTATTGCTTAAGTTTTTGAAACTGATTTTAAACCTTGTAGACAATAAAATCCCTTTTCGAGGAGACGTTGGGGGAAATTCCAGACGAAGTCCTTGATGCTCCCATTACAGAAGTTCCCTCTGGTATTACAGATACATTCATTAAGGCGAAGAGTTTGTTACCTCCTCCATACACAGTTAATGAAGAAGAATTACTGTATGCTTAAAACATACATATTTTTCTTACCTTTGTGTTTGTATCCACTGAAATCTATTCATTCTTTCAGAATTATGTGTTCTAGTTGCCTCATTTTTTGGGATGTAAAAGTGAAATCTTACAAGCTCACTGCTGCTATGAACAGAAAGCTGGAGCTACTGACATATTTTTCTAAAAAAAATTATAATATAGTCTATTGTGTAACAAATTCAACCTATACTATACAGACCAAACTTGAAGCCTTGATATTATTAAATTCTTGGAAATTCAATTTATACTCAATATAATAACTAGTCTTAGTATCTCATTTGTTCTAATCATTTGCAATTTATTTTGTCTGATGTTCTTGTTTCATTATTCCTTTTATTATTAACTTCCTTCTTAATATTACCTGGGGATAATTTTTTGTGGAGTTTTTCGAGAAATAATATCTATGAATTTAAATTTAAACAATAGTGTGTTTTTTTTTGTTATAATTTTAAAATAAATATAAATTTCTCTATTGAAATAGTCCATGTTGACTCTTAAAAACTGGAAAATCTTAGTAGTTAATTGGTTGGTTGACTACCTGAATTTCACTTTTATATTATTGGTGCAGTTTTGATTCGTGAAGAAACGGAAATGTTTTCATATTAAAAAAATAGATCAAAAAATTATTGGTGCAATTTTGATTTGTTGAGAAATGGAAATGTTTTGATATTAAAAAAATATATCAAAAAAGTTCCGTTGCCGGGACTTGAACCCGGGTCTCTCGGGTGAGAGCCGAGTATCCTAACCAACTAGACTACAACGGATTATTGAACATGTTGTAAGGTTAATTTATTTTATTAATCTCAAAACATAAGAAAATAAACATTATTACTCAATTAATACATTTTATAGGAGGAAAAATGAATCCATCACGACACTAACTTACACTAAAAATAAAATAAAATTACATAATACAGTAGCAGTTGTAATAATAGTTCCTAGCCAACATGATTCTAAAATTGCACTTCCTTTAATTTCCTACTACCCCCTTAAAATTGTCAATGATTGTCTCAATAAGGAGAAAAGGAGTTGAAGAAATGAAATTAAGGGACATGTACAAAGGAGAAAGAAAAAAAATTAATTCCACAAAAATGCCAATGGGTGCGGCTCGGAAGGGCATTTTGGGAATAACACCCCCTTTGTTGTGTATTTAACGTTTGTACATAAAGCTTTGACAGTTAAACCTCCTTCGTGACGTATATTCACATTTTCCATTTGTATCCCTTTGCATGGAACAGTTTTACTGCATTTTAATTTAATTGCAGTTTGCGTGGAACTCGTTCCCTTTATATTTTTGAACATTATATTACTCACATGCACTGCTTCTTTCTGAAAAATACATAAATAAATAAATAAAATATTAGCACTAATCGTAATTAAATGAACATTTTATCCAAAGAAATTTGACACAAGTCATATGAGAAAACTATATAGTAAAGGCTAAAGCAAGGCACTTAATTGCATAGTTTTTTAAGGTCAGTGGTAACTTTTAATTTTGACAATAAAATATGTAATCCTTTTGAAATAAAGTTACATATTTGAAGATTGCGCGTAGAAAGTTGACAATTCAAAAAACCTTAAAAAGCGTATAAAAAAATTACGATCAAAGAAAAACTTATTTGACTCTTGAAATTCTATTGCTGCCACAATTGGGATGGGAGGAGGGGGTATTTTACTAAAGTTATCTCCAAAATAATTATTATTTCTACTTCATGAAGTGAGTATAATTCTAAATTATTGTTGTTGATATATAGAATGTTTAATGAATATAATTATAATTACCTGCTCTTTGCATGGCTTATCTTGGTCACAATAAAATTGATCAATGATTATGGGGTTGGTCACATTCACCATCTGTATGTTTTGAAAAAGAATGTCTTTTGCATATCCACGTCCTCCCTATTTAAATTATAAACAATTAAAAAATGTTGAGCATTCAATAAACACAAGAATACAAACTATAATTAATCTGCTAATTAAGACCAATAAGTTTAAATCAAAGACAAATCTATTTTATATCTTGAAAATAAAAAGAATAAAATACTAACTTAGATAAAGTGAGGTGTTAATTAATAACGTTATTTACCAGTTTTTCAACAAAACTAAATAGTTTCTAGGTAATTAATTTGCTAAATGAGTGGTGAAAAATCGTTAGGAACTCAAAATAGATGATAACTAAATTAGTATTGCTTTGTTTTTTTTTCGTGCTCAGGTATCTATATTGGAGCTCGATTAAATTCAAATTTGTGCGCTTCCTAACAAAGGTGACTCCGTCCATATCTGGGGACTCAAACCCGAGACTTCTTGTTAAGGATGAAGAAATATTTATCACTCCACCACAACCCTGAACTTGTTGGTGAATGAGTATTACTTTGCTTATCTACTAATTTCAAAAATAGATTTCTATTTTATTTTTCACTATATCAAGAAAAGATAATTATTACTTTTTCATATTTTATTCTTAATATTAATTACTTATTCTTTAAATTATTTTTCAAGGTCTAATACTATACATTAATTAATAGAAATAGTGTGATTAAAGAGTCAGGTCAATTATTATTTTCGTAATGGTATATCGAATCCAAATATAACAAGTAAAAGTAAACGGAAATTTAATTAGTGGGAAACCAAGTGGATATATACCTGCCAAGACTTTATTCTTAATCCATTGGTTGTTCCCCTCAAGGTAGCATCATGTACATAAATATTTGAAACAACATCCTCCTCTTTATTTTTACCCAAGCTCCCAATACTAAAAAAAATAAAAAAAATTTAGTATTTTTTTTAATTATATAGATATGAATTTTTTTTAATTGTCTACCATATATATATTGCATATAGTTACCTTATTCCATGGCCAGGTCCACAATGTATATATCTTGCTCTAACATTAGTGGAACCATTTACTATTGAGATACAATCATCACCTAATTAATTGACCAAAAAACATATTCAGTCAGTAATATATAATTAATTAATTAATGTAATTTATTTTAATTTTTAACTAATAAAAAATACCTGTTTCAATATAAGAATGGTGAATATCAATATCTTTTGTCCCAGAAACATGAATTCCATCGGTGTTGGGGCTATCAGCAGGAGCGGTAATTTTCAATCTTGAAACTTCAACAAGTTCACTTTTTGTAATTGTTAAGTGCATTTTTTGTGGATTCTTAAACTCTAAATTTCTCACTTTCAAATTTGTACAATTATAAAAGGACATAGCCTGTAAAAAATTAAGATATACATATTATTAGTATTAATGTTTTATTGCTTAATTTTTGTAATCTTTATAAAAGTTGGGTTGAAAGTAAGTACTTACAGTTGGAACTGTTAGTGTTTGTGTATTGCATGGCTGCAGAAAAAAAAAAAGAAGAGAAAATTAATGATATACTACTATATATTACACGATGGTGCTGTTATAACACAAAATTAGGCGCAATACATAAACATGATCCTTAACTTGACTTCAGCTGGCAATTATGATCTTTAATTTTGAGTGTGCACAAGTAGACATTTAAACTTGTATAAAATTAAACAAATAGACACATTCGTCCTACATGGTGTCCTACGTGTATTATGCCTCGTAGGACACGTATGTCTACTTGTTCAATTTTATACAATTTTAAGTGCCTACGTGTGCACACTCAAAATTGAAGGACACAAATATTAGTTGAAGTCAAGTTAAAGAGCATATTTATTGAACACAATTTGTGTTTTGATTAATCAAATTCGAAAAGCATCTTTGAGTAGCAATTGTGTTTAACCAAAAAAGACTGCTTTTCAGAAGTTAAAAGGAATAATTTTCCCCCCTAAAAAATACCATTTTTAAAAAATACACTTGGACTTTTTAAAAGATTGGTTAAACACGAATTGTTACTCAAAAGCATTTTTTAAATTTATTAACCAAACACAAATTACTTTTCCCTTTTTTTATACATGGTGTAACATAGAAAAATGAAATTAAAAGAAACTCACAATAGTTTTATCAACTTTACAAGAGCTTTTCCACCATACTTGTCCATTGCCATCAATACTTCCAATACCTTCAACTATAAAATTTTCCATATTTTGGAATAAAAGCCAATGTCTTTTATCTTCCTTATAATCTGATATATCTTTTGAAGCTCTTAGTTCTCCATTTATCTAAATAAAAACAAAACAGATATTTCAATAAAAAGAATAACTAGGAAAATAAATTACAAATTATATAAGTTAATTGTAGTAATAAATAGTAGAAATATTTTTAATTATTATACTCACCATCATTCTAAGTCCTTTCTTACAAGGACCATGAAACTTAATTGGTCCAATGTAATATATTTTGTGCCTTGGAATCAAAAGCACACCATTTTCTGTTTTGCATGTCTTCTTCCAAGCCTTTATAAATGCCTGAAATTGGAATTCATTATTTCAGTATAAAGGCCGGTAAAAAATATTTATACGATCAGATCACTTATAAAGTAAGTATACGATAAATGTCTCTATAATAAACATTATTGACACCATAATAGGTTTAGCTACACTAATAATATAGTATTTTTTACAATATCCATGTATATATCCTAAATCATTTCAGGATTATTTGACAGGGGCAGAGTCAGGTAGGAGCAAGGGATTCATTTGAACTTCCTTCGACGAAAAATGACATTGTATATTTAAGGTTAAAATTATTTTTATGTATATATAGTATATGTTGAATTTCATTGACTCCTTCATGTGTCTACCTTTTCACATTTTGAACCCCTGAATAAAATTCTGACTACGCCACTGTTATTTAATGCCACTAGGTAGAATTGTCCAGAAAAACAAAATTGAAAAAAGAATTTACCTCTGTATCATCTGAAAGTCCATCACCTTTGGCTCCAAAAGATTGTATATCAATAATTGCTTGTGTCCTCTTTTTCACATGACCATTTTTTGGTGCATTATGACCATGTTTTATTGGTTTTCCAATCTTCTTTTTTCCATTACAAGAAGTTGAAAACAATGAAGTGGCTAACAATACTATAAAGAGAATTCTAAAAAGCATTTTATTATTTTTGCCTTTTTTGCTCTTGTTGGAACTTATAAAGGAAATAAGAAATCAAAATGAAAAAAGAACTGTGTACTACCTCAATTTGATCATGAAGTACATATCATCAATATATATATAGAGAGAGGAATTATTAAGAATGAAGGGAAAAAATAAATGGTTCTTAGAGAAAGTGTTCTTTTTTAGAACAAAAAATGAGAGGAAAAAAAG